TGTGTGTGTGTGTGTGTGTGTGGCCAGCTCAGCCCACCAGGGGGCGGGTCCGGCCGGCATGTGGTGCTGGGGATTGAACCGCGGTCCCTGTGCTTTGCCAAGCTTGTTTCAAGTAGGTGCCCTAGACCACTGAGCCATCTCTCCAGCCCCTAAATGTCTTCTTTTAAATAACAAGGGATGGGGTAGTTCTGAATCTTGAATATTGTGGTAGTTATGTGAAGGTATACATTGGATAAAATTGCTCAGAACTGTACATCTGTACATATGAGTACATGTATAACTGAAGAAGTCTGAACGAACCCTTTAGATTGTACTTATATCAGCAGTCTGATAGAGATACTATATGGTAGCTATGCAAGATGTTGACACTGAGGCAAGCCAGGTAAAAAGTGCATATTTCCTTACTTCTTCATAACTTTCTCTTTCTTTCTTTCTTTCTTTCTTTCTTTCTTTCTTTCTTTCTTTCTTTCTTTCTTTCTTTATTTATTTTTGTGTATGTGTGTGGAACTGGGGATTGAACTCAGGCCCTTGAGCTTGCCAGGGAAGCGCTTATTCTACTGAGCCATCTCCCCAGCCCTTTAAAAATATTAAAAAAAAAAAAAAAAAGGTTTTGCAAGAGCTAAGTGTGGTTGCACATGCTTATAATCCTAGCACTTGGGAGGAGACAGGAGAATCATTGCAAATTTGAGGTCAGCCTGGAAACACCATTCCCAAAATAAAATAATAATTTTTTACCAAATAACTGCTTGTTGGAAATTGGATTTCCAACTTATGTAAATATCTTTCTAAAGGGCTCTAAGAACTTTTGTAAAGCCTCGTATTAAGAAATACCTCCTATTGCTCTTCTAGGTGGAATTGAGACTGGATCTATCACAGAGATGTTTGGAGAATTCCGAACTGGGAAGACCCAAATCTGTCATACACTGGCAGTTACATGCCAGGTGAGCTTTTTTAGGGCTCCAATTAATCAAATCACGTGTTGGTAAGAATCTGTTAGGATGTACATATTAAGCACTTTCTCTGGCCTCTAAAATCCTGTAGCTGGGTAGATTTCTGCAAATGCGTCCAGATCACAGAAACTTTGAATTCACTTAATTTTAGATACTTTTTACCTTTCCTAGGGCTCTTCTAGTTGTATTGCCCTTTCCTTTAGCCTGCACTTTACATGATCACTGAAGACATTGTCCCTCATGGTTGTTTTAGCTTACATATTTACTTAAAGGGACATCAACCTTATATCAATTCCATCTGTCTTTTTAGTACATGAACTCAAATTTTTGCTGAAAAACTCAGAGTATAAAACTAACTGATCGGGGCTGGTGAGATGGCTCAGTGGTCTAAAGCACCTACTCAGAACAAGTTTAGCAAAGCACAGGGACCACGGTTCAATCCCCAGCACCACATGCCAGCCAGCCCCGCCCCCTGGTGGGCTGAGCTGGCCACACACACACACACACAAATAAATAAAAAATTTAAAAAAAAACTAACTGATCTCACAATTCAGGATGACAGCTAGGATTAGCATTCAGTACAGTTTGGCTAATCTGTTGAATTTTCTTCATTTAGGTTCCTAGTCTGTTTCTGTTAGACTATCTTTGCAAATTTGAGCCAAGCCTAGAAAATTTAATGACTTAATGAGACTGTCTCAAAATTAAAACGTTAGAATGACTGAGGTTGTAACTCAGTGTGAAATCCTGGGTTTAGTCTTCAGTACCTGCAAAAGTAAGTAAAGTATCACCCTGTGGGAATTTAGTTCAGTGCCAGAATCCTTATCTAGTGGGTGTGAGGCTTTAGGTTCAATACCCAGCACTGGGCACTTGGCATAGGTCATCAAACACGTGTGGCCTTTTAAAGTAGAAATGTTTTCCTTGTGTTGTGACAACTTTATGATGATGGGACTCAAGCTCAGGACCTTGCACTTAGTTGGTAGGTACTCCAGTTTCATCATTGTGCTCTGCCCCCTCCTATGTTATTTTGAGGAGGATTCACATAGAATCAATATTTATAGTACACAATATCTATCATTGCCGTAGCAACTGAGCTATCACCGTGCCCTAAAGTTGTACAGACAGAATCCTAGCCCAAGGATGTTTACTAAATAGTCAAAGAATGCCTGTCGACAACAAATTAAAGCAAAATTCTCAAACATGGACCTCTTTATAATGTTCTCAGGTGGCTATGTCAGAACAACTATGATCTTTGATTTTTTTTTTTTCCCAGAGAAACTGTACTGATTAGTTAGTAATAGAAAGGATATTTCATCAAGCTAACTACTAGAACCAGAAGTACAGGGGGCATTAGATTGCTATTTAAATCTAAACATCTGATGTCATCGTTCAGATTTTCTCAATGCAGTGAAGTAAAACCTCACCATATATTAGATCTCTAACATTGCTGTTATACAAAGTTGAGAGGTATAATTAAGTTACAAAGTTCAGTAGCCCATATCTGGCTATGCTATGCATCTTGCCTGCTAAAATAGTTTTCTTTGTTTCTCTTTCGTTCTGTTCTGTTCTGTTTATTTCTTTTTTTTTTTTTTTTTGTGGAACCAGGAATTGAACACAGGCCCTAGCGCTTGCCAGGGAAG